CAGAAAAGAAATATACACCATGGGAAAATAAGATATTTAATATATGCATACTATAATTTCAGTAATCTTCATTCATTTGAAACCATATATATCACAAAAAGGGTTACACAACGAAAAAAAAAACAAGATATTTCGTCCCTCGCTGGGTTTGTTTGTTTTTAATTTCGCGCAAAGCTACACGAGGGCTATCTGCGCTAGCCGTCCCTAATTAGCAGTGTAAGACTAGAGGGAAGGCAGCTAGTCATCACCACCCACCGCCAACTCTTGGGCTACTCTTTTTATCAATGAATAGTGGGATTGACCGTCACATTATAACGCCCCCACAGCTGAAAGGGCAAGCATATTTGGTGTGACAGGGATTCGAACCCGCGACCCTCAGATTGCGAGTCGAGTGCCTTAACCACCTGGCCATGCTGGGCCCGGGCGGGAGTTAAGGAGCATTACTGCAAATTTAGCTTGGGCAGTCATATTTCACGTGCCTTATTAAAAATCTTAAAAATAATCCATACATATATATATATTCATTCTTGCTGTAATGGGATAGTAGTATATCTATTTCACGCATATCAGCTGATGAATTACAGTGCTTATTTTTTACTGAGTAGTGTTAAAATAGTGTCGAAAACACACGTAGTTAGGTACAGACCTGTAGTGGGCTAGATCTTCTTTATTTCCAATAAGCGCCATTGGCGTTTGTCCTCCTTGCCAAAATCCTCGTTCAACAGTTTTATCAGTTCTCGCGCTTTTAAAAAGCTTCGTTTGTCTGTGACCGAGTAAACCACGACATAACCATCCGCACCCTCTAGGAGGCCCTTGGATTTTAGCGACGTGAAAGATTCCTGATAAAAGAAATATAGCTAATATAAACAAGTTATTTAGCTAAAAACAACAACAACGACAATAATAAATGTGCTTAAAACTCATAATAATTCAACGTCAATGGATGAGTCCATTTGCAGTTATCTGTACAAATGACCAGTACCGTAAAAATTAATAAAAAAATGCGAATTTGGATAAAGTAAGAAACTGAGAACATGAAAGACCAGATAAATAAGACGATAAACCTGAAGAACATAGACGGAAATGAGTGAGTTTGTTTGTTTGTTTTTGAATTTCGTGCAAAGCAACACGAGGGTTATCTGCGCTAGCCGTCCCTAATTTAGCAGTGTAAGGCTAGAGGGAAGGCAGGTAGTCATCACCACCCACCGCCAACTCGTGGACTACTCTTTTACCAGCGAATAGTGGGATTGACCGTCACATTATAACGCCCCCACGGCTGAAAGGGCGAGTATGTTTGGTGGGACGGCGATTCGAACCACCTGGCCGTGCCGAAATGGGTGAGTGTCTCAGGAATATTACTCAGATAAGACACGATTTCCTGTCTTCATATATTCGTATATTTATATTTGGTGTGCGGAATAACTAATTCAAGTAATGGCATATAACGCGTAAGTTGGCAAAGCCATGTAGAAAAAGAATTGCAGTCAGACTCGATTAGAGTTACTTCTGTTACGCTCATTGATTCGCGGACTACTTATGTATTATACATTATGTGTTATACACTACTGAATTAGGTTTCTTGTACTCGGTAGAAACAGACATTTCACATATATATATACACACACGGCTCGCTGTCTTGGGTCCAACTGTATTCTAAAAATGAACTAAAGGCCTCCTGGGCAGTGACTTGTGGCAGACAAAATGACAAGCTTGAAATGCTATTTTTACACACTTGTTTCGAAATTCTAACTAAAAAAAAGAAGCGTGAAGAAAAAAACATCTTGAACTAATGGCGATTTTAATTAATTCAAATACGTTTATTATATAAGTTTTGTAAAAAACAGTTTCCTTTAATGTTTCTATATATTTGTTGTTTAACATCTTAATAACTTCAGCTTTATTTAGTTTTGTAGTTTGATAATTTTTTAGATCGTAAGAACAGATAGTAAAAGATGTCGCTAACTTCTGTTTTACATATTTTCAGTGGGATATTTTCTTTAGGTTAAGCTTCATAACAAAGTGTAAATTTAGATCGTAAGAACAGATAAAAAAAGATTTTAATAACTTTTGCTTTAGTTATTTTTGTAGTTTGATATTTTCTTTAGACTGAGTTTCGTGACTTAGATCATAAGAACAGTTAGAAAAGATTTATATGTAGGTGGAAAGAAAAGTTAAAATCAACTACAGCAAATGCTCATTTCTGTTGTTTTTTCTATTTCAAAGGATAAGTGGTTTTTAGCAAAATTAAATGTGAACTCTGGGGGATGAGACTAGTGATCAAAACATACCAATCAACCTGATCGCACTCGTGAAACATTACCTAGGTAACGCTTTTTACCACTCTCTCTCCCACGTTACTATATTAACGTTCTGTTTTCTTTACTATCATGTTCATTGTTGCGTCGCTTATTTGCATAGGTCTGTCATTGATGTTTCTAGGCTTGAATTACGTAATCAGTTTGGGACTAGGGCTTAACTTCGATAACAAATGTGGACTTCTTTGCTTTTCCTATTTGTATTTAAACATTAAACTCAGATCTCAACGCTAAGTCAAAAAACTGTGTTATTCTATTTTTGTATAGTATATTCACTAGTAGTGTCGGTGATCTTAAGAAGCTTCAAACTGATACCAGCAGAAATGACAGTTACTGGTAAGGTTAGTTACGTTACGTTTTATATTGTTAGGTTTGCAACCTATAGTTGCAAAAGATGTATATGGCCAACATGAACATTAGATTTAGATGACTTATGATTATACATTCTTACACTAAAATAGAACTGTTCAAATACCTGAAAGAAAATCACACGTTTTCTTTAGAAAATAAATAATCTATTCCAATCTCCGTACAGTATCAAGCAACATAAAAAAACATACACTGTATTTGATGTCTGTTGTGAAATTATAGGGTTAGCATTTTCAAATAGATTTTGCAAACATAAAATCATAAACGCTCTAAAATCTACAGTAATAAATCTAGATGTTAACGTTCCACAGAAATAGTAATAAATTCAGAAAATAGTTCTAAGGTTGTGTTATTGCTACATCGAGCAATACGTATAAGAAATTAAAAGCTGTATTGATTAAAAATGTTGTCTCTCGGTGGGATAGCAGTAAGTCAACGGACTTACAATGCTAAAACCCGGGGTTCGATTCCTCGCATTGGACACGACGGATTAAAGTTTGTATGGACAAATGAATAGCTAGGTGTTTATGAAATAGTAGAACTTTGATTTTTTTACCCGTTTGTAAAATATCTTGCTTACTAAATCGTCTACAGTAACGTTTTTTTTTTTGTAATTTGTTGTGGTTGATTAAATATATAAGTATATCATTATCAGATGTTATTGATCCCACTATATACATATCTTCATGACTCGCAAGGATGCCTTATGACACCAGCTCTATCTTTTGAAATTTTGTCGACTGGAATTTAAAAACTTCATTATAAGTGACACAAGAAGCAGTATTTCTAAGTTTTGAAATATGAAAAGAGAGCACAATTATGATTCTAAGTTTCACGACGTACAAACGCTAGAGGGTTTGAAAACATGACGGGGGGGGAGGGAGAAAGGGAGCGTATTTAAGGAATTGTTTTTTATCAATTTCAGAAACAAGTAACAAAACTTAAGCTTTGCATAAAACTCTTCCATTGCCTGCGTTGATTCATCAAATCTAACTTTGTTTAAAAGTTAAAATTATTAAATTGTAAGCACGTGGAAACACTTACGTTAAGCAAAAAATACCTCGAGACTTGAATCTACACCAAAGTTATAGGATGAAGGATGAAAATTCTTTGGCACGAGTTAAAAACAGCACATTAGTGATATACATATTACTCCGAGCCCCCCAGTGGCACAGCGGTATGTCTGCGGACTTACAACGCTAGAAACCGGGTTTCGATACCCGTGGTGGGCAGAACACAGATAGCCCTTTGTGTAGCTTTGTGCTTAACTACAAACAATAACAATATCACTCCGAAATATTCTGGTGTTCTATGTAAAATGTTTTTCAATACATATAAACGAACACGTGCAAACTAATTCTGAAAAAAAACCTTGACGCAATTTCCCGACTTTAGCGTGATTATTTTTAAGGTAAATGTAGAAAACACACACACACACACAAAACTAATGCATTTAACTTTCGCACCTTTCCGGAAGTATCCGTTATTCGCACCAGAAGAACTTTATCGTTGACATTGACGTTTCGTTCGTAGCAACAAGAGGTACAGTGTTCATATTCCGGGAGGTACTTCTTCGTGAGAAAACGAACCACCAATGCTGAAACATGAAAAAAACATATAATAGATTAAGTATTGAACGAAAGTGATCATAATTGGTCATATCCAAGCTTCCATATAGAAGCACGTGATATTTAAAATATTAGATATATGTCTTGTGCTACCACGGGTGGATTGTCGTTACACACACATACTGTATATAGGTTTATTTTTGTTCTGAATTTCGCGAAAGCCATCCCTAATTTAGCGGTGTAAGACTAGAGGGAAGGCAGCTAATCATGACCACCCACCGCCAACTCTTGGGCTACTCTTTTACCAACGAATAGTGGGATTGACCGTCACATTATAACGCACTCACGGCTGAAAGGGTGAGGATGTTTGGTGGGACGAGGATCCGTGTTGCTGCCTGATGACTAGGGACGGCTGTATAAGAATTTTAGGGTTCTCTGGTCCAACCACGTGCACATAATGTGTTGTTCAATTTAAAATTTCAATTCGTTGAATTTAAATAAATGAAAAGTTGGTATTGCGTTTTCATCATTAAGTTTATAAAACTTCGTATAACGAAATAAATGTATTATTTCCTATTTATGACGTAGTACATTATCCTATCATCTACTGTTTATTTTCGTATTATCTAATAAAACTTTCTGTTTAAAAACATTGCGCAAAGTAATATTGTTTGTTTGTTTTTGAATTTCGCGCAAAGCTACACGAGGGCTATCTGCGCT